ACTTTCACACGGATCATACAAACAGGTGCAAATGGTCGGGAATATTTCGATAGCCGAAGCATCACTTTAGCAAACCCAAAAGAATAAAAAAAATGGGGACCAAATATCACTGTGCGATTGTTTAAGAAAATTAAAAAATTTTGTTAATAATGACTTTTGTAGTCATAAGTGGGCGGTGTCGTGCCCATTTTCCGAAAATCCTTACTAATATTACAAATCCGAAAGTGAGTTTGTTTATTTGTTACGCTTTCACGCTTTAACTACTCAACCGATTACCATTAAATTTTGTACACTGATGCCATTTAGCCCAACTTAAAATATAGGATAGATTTATTCTCCAATTATACGAGGGGCGTGGCACCTCCCACACAAACGGAATTTTCATACCGCATATCATATCTCAGAAAATATTTTTGATAGATTACAGGAACTTGTTATAGATACATATATGTGCATGAAATAAATTCCATACTTAGGGAGGAGAGCTGCTACCTGTATAAAAAATCGAATTCGGCTTGAAATAAGGGAATTATTTATTTGAAAATTGTATTACAGTTTGGTTGACAAGAGGCGTAAAAAAGTTGTAGTTTGAAAGTATTTTAATTATTCACAAGCTATCCAAAAAATTAATATATGGGTGTCAAATGAAATATTTCTAAGAAACCGAGATTGAAGATTTAGAACACTTTAAAAGAATTGCCACCCGTTTAAAAATTAAATGCATTTAACTTAAATGAATTACTACAATATGGGATTCAATCGAAAGTTTTTTTGAGAAGGGTTTTAGTTCTGAACAACATGTAGGAGGGTTGCCACCTCTTTGGAAAATCAAAATCTTCTTGAATTAAGGGAATTTGATAATTGGAATATGCATAACAGTATGAACGTCAGACAAGAGAGATTTAATTGGTTTTTAGTAGGAAATATTTCGAAGAGTGTTGCCACCTGTTTTAAAAATCGAGTTTAAATTAGAAATGTTCAGCTTGAACACGTAGAATTTTTTGAGGTTTTTGAAGAGGATTGCCACCTGTTTTAAATCTAAATTCAAATCCAATTATATTATAGGTTTAATTAGTTATTATAGTCTAGGTTTTAATCGGAGGAGTATTTAAAAAGCTTTTTTTCTAAGCAACATATGTATAGCAGGGACGTCAAATGTATGAAAATATAAATTCGACTTGAATTATAGGAATTAACGGTTTAAAAAGTAAAATTCAAAATTTTCAATAATTTCAATGAATTATTACAATATGGGTATCAATCGAAATGATTTTGCAATGGCTTCCTAGCAATACTCGTACCAAGTTTTATGGGTACATAATACACTTGTGCACAAGTGTGCTCGGTTATAAAAAAGAGGGGTATTTTATATATAGAAAAATCCTAGACGGTGGTAGCATTAAAAATCCGACTTAACTTGTTTTTGGACTATCCTAATGTACATATGTATATGCACGATATATTTACACCGCTATAAATTAAATGCAAATGTAATACGAGTATGTCAAATAAAAATGCTAATGCAAGGTAATTTGTTATTTTTTACTGATTTACGGAAAGCGATTAGAGGCACATATATATACATACATACATATGTAAATATTATTTTTCACTTTCAGCCTTCTGGCATGCCCCCACTGAAAGCGTGTCGTAGATCAACAGCTGTTTCACTAAAACTCACTGAGAAGTGATAAGCGATGCCACCACCACTTTTGCACAGCTTTCCGAATTCGCTCAATCATGTTTCCAAGCAGGGTTGCCAGAACTTTTTGGACGAACCGGCTAAATTGGCAAATAA